AAACTCCAAGAAGTGGACCCCGCGCCTGAAAAAATAAATAAATAAATAAATAAATAAATAAATAAATAAATAAATAACAAACAAACTCCAAGAAGGCTTTGTCTATACTATTCTGACTCTATCTCCAGGGATAGCATTTGGTAAGTAGTAGGTATTCAATAAATATGTTTTTATAAGGATCAAATAAGAAATAAAATAACGTAAAATAAGATAAAATACTAAGGCACACTTTCCAGAGATGAACAGACAAAACTGGATTGGGTTTGGGCTGTAGTAAAGTGTAACAACACGCATCTTCACTCATGCTATAATAGCCAGTTTATAAGACATTTACTCAACAAATAAGTGGGTTTCATCTTTTCTGGTCTGGAGAAAAGGATAAATGCACTCGTAAAAAAAAAAAAACACACATTAAGCATACATCAAACAAATTTCAACCCAATACCACACAGAGGTGTTGCCTAGACCGACCCAGCTTACGAGGAGCTGAGAGCAAAGATAAAGCGCATTCTTGTCAAAACTGGACACTTGGTTTCAACTTGTTCAGCTCCTGTACCAGTCACTCAGGAGGGACCTTAACATCTGTATGCTAATTACGGAGACGGTGGTGGAGCTCGGCTCCAACAAATCCGCCTCAGCCGCTCTCTCTCTTGCGCCAAGGGGACACTGTCCAACATTGATAAGACCTTGCGAACCACAGCAAGGCTCAGGCGGACACACTGCGCGCCCCCTCCCCAGCCCCTGCCGGCCCCACCCTTCTCGCAAGCCCCTCCCCCCCCCCACTTCTACTCCGATCTGAGCCAAACTAGCTGCCTGCTTTGGTAATAAGACTGAGGGAAGACTCCCAAGGCCCCGTGGGCTCCATTATCCCACATGCCCTCCAAGAAGGGCCCCCTCCAGGGACCGTGGCTGCAGATCCGAGCTCTCCACTTGCTGCCAGGAAACCTTCCCCACTGAGGACACCCTGGGCAGGCGGCGCAGCTCCAGGTCCAGGGGGAGGCACCCCACCCATCTGCCAGAGAGACAAAGATCACCAGAAACAAAGGACACACACACACACGCACACACACATACACATACACACATACACACACACGCACACACTCGCACGCATGAAGTCAAAAGCAAATACCGACACTTGGTGTGATTTCAAGCCAAACAGCCGGCTTGGTGTATCTTTAAATAGGTCTTGAAACAATCCAGGAGGGACAATGATTATGTGGTAATGACAGGCACTATCTGGGTTAGGAACCCACGCTGCCTCCGCCCTCCTCCCACCCGCGCTGCGGTTCCCGGGCGCATTTTCCAGCCTCAGGACACACGCTGCCGGGAGCCAGGGTGCTTCCTTCCACTCACGGAGGCGCGCGCACGCAGGGGATGGAGGCAGGGCGAGGGCCGCCAAAAGTAGCAAATACCAACCTTTAGGATCCCAGTTCACCTGTTTTCTTGGAGTCTCGATTGGAAATTTCATTGCTCCGTTGCCCAGAAGGGGAGGGAACAGAAAGAATCAAAATAATAATAAAGTCCTCGAGCTTTACACGCCTCGGTCCAGCAGTCCAACAAAACAATCTCCAAGGATGGGGGAGCCTTGGACCGGCTCGCGGAGGCGCCCCAGAGGAAGATAAGTGGGGAGGGCTGGCTAAGGAGGGACTGGAGACGGCTCAGGGGTCGGCGCCGGCGGGGGGGTGGTCAGCTGCGGCCCCCCCTCCCCGGGTGCAAGGAAAAGTAAGACTGGCGAGGGGTGGATGCAGAGCGGAGCTCGGGAGGATCCAAGAGCCAAGCTGCTCCCCGAACGCGGCGGCGGCGGGTGGGGGCCGAGCAGCCGGAGGGCCGGCGCGAGGGAGACCCCACTGCAGCGTCACCCCAGCCCCCGAAGGCGTGTGCGCACACACTCCCGCACACACTGGCCCGGGCGCGCGCTCCGGCGGGCACGTCAGCCGCGCTCGGCCGCGCACAGCGCACACGCCCCACCCCGGCCGCGGCTCCTCGGCCCCGGGCGACGCCCCCCACTCCCCACCCCCCGAAAGCCATTGGACGTCGGGGTGGCGCGGCACCCGGGGAGCGCGCGGCCGGGGCGACCCTCCCCGCGGCGCGCGGCAGACGCGGGGGCCACGGCGGGAGAGCGCGCGGGGCGCGGGGCGCGGGGGCGCGGGGCGCGGGGCGGCGGACTGGCCCGCGGGGCGGCGGCGGGGGGCGGCGGGGGGCGGCGGAGGGCGGGGCGCGGCGGCCGGAAGCCGGGGCGGGGAGCCGGGCGCCGGGAGCCTGGAGCCGGGCGCCGGGAGCCGGGCGCCGCGCTACTTACTGGCTCGGCCGGCCGGCGGGCGTGGAGGCGCGCGTGGAGGCGGCCGCGGCGCGCTCGGTGGAGTTGCGGCCGGAGACACGCTTGGCTGCCTGGAAGGCGCTGCGGGAGGCGGAGGAAGGGCCGCCGCGGCCCCGCCGCAGACCCCGGCCTCGGAGGTGCCCGCTGGCCGCCGCGCCCACCCGCCCACCCTGGGCGCACACGCGCACCCCCTTCTTTCCTCACTTCATGTTCCCACTCCGGCCCCCTCCCGTGCCCGGGTCTGCCGCCCGCGCCCCGAACCCGCGTCCCCAGCGCACTCGGAGAGGCCGGAGCCAGCCATGAGCCTTTTGTTCTGGGGCCGCTCGGCGTCGGCTGAGCTCTCCCCGCCCGGGAAGGTGGCTCCCCAGGCGCAGCCCGGTCCCTTCCCCGGCTACCCGCCGCGCGGTGGGGGAGGCCGCTGCAGAGAGACGCCGCGGCCCCAGAGGGAAGTGGAGTTGCCAAGACCCAGCGGCCCCGGGAGCCCGGCAGCCCGGGGCCCAGCAGGCGCCAGTGCGAAGGGACCCCACACCTGTTCCCGGGGAGACGCTGAACCTGGCGCATTTCCGCTACCCCCACTGAGGCCTCGATCTCCAGAAGAGCCAGGTGGTGCCGAGATGCTCTTGAACGGGCCCCGCGAAGTACTGATATGAATGATGCTCACAAATTACTCGGGCTCCTAGCAACGGAGACTTGCACATAGTAGATGTTCAAGAAATACTTGCTAAAGGAAGGCATAAGCTGCACGAGGCAGTGTTGGACAGAAAGTAGTTTAAATTACTGTCCAGTCACTGTCCACTCGACGGATTTCTTGAACCCCGTCTAAGTGCCATTGCTGTGCCAGGTGCTGCTGATAAGGCAAAGAACCACACAGATATAGACCTTGCTTTCATGAGTCTTATGTCTAGCGCCCAGGAGGTCCGGCTAGATTTGTCATTGCCTTACTTAGGAAAGAGGAAGTGACTACCTGGCTCATCACCAAGCCTGCCCTCTGTGGTCCTAACGCCCTACACTGGCAGTTGTTCTCTGGATGCATGCCACTCTAGGGCACCTTGAGGCTTCTGGGAGCCCTGTTACAGCAGCATCTTTCTCATCATCCTCCCCCCCCCCCCATTGTCACATCCAGGTTTCTGAGTCCCAGGGCAAGACCCACAGAGGTCCACTGTCATCTGTGGAAAGGGTTGGTAAGTGCTTTGTCACTGACCCTACAGACTGATGGGACTAGAACCCTGAGTTCTCTGCAGACTCCATTCAGGCACACCGGGTACCAATCTGATGGCACTACTTGGACTCCTCGGCCCTTTGGGGAGACACAGGTTCCCAAGGCACTTGACCGCCACCCTCCCTGGGACTCCATTTCCACACTTTGTTTCCCTCTACTAGATGGCTGAGAGGATGGATGACACATGGAAATGAGACAAACAAGGAATTGCTGCTTCTCCAGCCATGTCCCCAGAGACACTAATAGGTGTGCAAATTCTGCCCCAAAATCCAAAGGGAGCTGCTCCTAAAGCTCCTGAGATAGGCTTCAAAGCTTCACTCTGCCTTCTCCTCAACACTCTGCCCCCACTCACAGGCAGGAGGGTTCCAGCCCAGTCACTGCAATGCAATGTTTTTACCTGCATCTGAGTCAGAGAGAAGTGCACCCTGAGAAAGACAGCCTCTCTCCCGAAGCCTCCGGGGATAGGAGAGCAAGACTGACATGTATCAAATGGCCCCTCACAGCCTCATCCTTCTCTCCATTTATCTTCCCTGTGTCATGCTGAAGAGGTTGTAAGTGGCCTCATTTTACAGATGGAAAGATCAAGGCTCAGACAGGTAAAGGAACACACCCAAGGTCACAACACAGAGAGTCAACCCAAGGGAGCTCATCTGGTCCCTGAACCCATTAACCTGACCCTGAAGCTGTCAGATGGGTTCTTTTGGGTCATAAAGATGTATATACTATATTAGCCGGGACGCCAGCCCTTCCTGCTTTGCAAAATAAATTGGACTACCCTGGTGCCCTGAGGCCTCCACCAGGGAATTAGTTCACTATCAAAGGCAAATTCCCATGGCAAGAAATGTAGCCTTAGGGTGCATCATTCAGTCAATCAACAAACATGTATCAAGCAGGTCTTGTGAGACAAGATAGGAGGTTTTCCTCAGAAGTTATATTGGGCCCTATTGAGAACCTTTCCCCAGAAAAGCATCAGCAGGATGGTTATTTGGGGGCTTAGGGAGGCTGAGGATGGACCTACCAGGGTGAGGAAGGAGGATCAGGGGTCCGGAGCGCCTGATATAGGTAGTTTAGGACTTGCCCTAGTCACAGGCCCTTAGGATCTCTCTGCTAAATCACTCGCCCCATCCCCCACCCTCACCCCCTGGGGCTCTCTCTTTCCCCCACTTCCTTACTCCCTGCCCAGTGTCCGGACAGCACAAGTGGGGTTGGGAGCCACCAAAAATTAAGTAAGTAAGTAATCCCAGCCCCCCGTCCCCTAATGTGCCTGAAATCAAGTCCAACTCCTAAACTGCGTATGTGGAATGCACTGCGGGGTTTGGGGGTGCGGGGGGGGGGAGAGGTGTCAGGGGAGAGTCACCCCCGCACCCCAACCACCCCAAGAGAAACAACGTAGCACATTAGCCCTTTGTGTGACCGCCGTCAATGCCTCCCCTTGGTTATTGCGCACTCGAGTCCACTTACCCCAAGGAGGAGGAACGAAGCGGACCGCGTCCAGAAACAACATCCAAGCTCGAAGCCGCGCCGAGCGGTTCCCGGTGCGTCTGTGCCGCCGCAACTTCCATGGCTATCGCTGCGGGCGGGTCAGTCCGGGGGAGAGGGGGCGCCCCGGGCTCCTGCGGCAGGAAAACAACGCGTCGTGGCGCCAAGTCCGCCCGCACCGGCAGAGCCCCGCCAGCAGCCCCGGGCGCGCTCGCGGGCAGAGGGCGCAGGGCCTCGGCGGGCCAGCGCCGCGGCGGGGGCCCGGGTCTCTGCGCAGCTCGGATCCCGCCCTGGCGGCCGCACCTTAGCGATCGCCGGGTGGCCCCGCGCGGGAGGGCTCGGGGAAGCCGGCGAGCCCCAGGCTCCTCCCGGGAGGAAGTTTGCGGCGAGTTGGCGGCTCCCCAGCGCCCTCCCCGCGCCGCAGTCCGGGATGAGCGCGAGAGGCGAGGGGGGCCCCCGGCGCGGGGAGCAGGTCTCTCCAGGGGCGCGCGGGGCGGGGGCGGGGGGGGGGGGCTGGCACCGAACCGCTCAGCCCGCGCAGAGGTGAGCGCGGAGTCGGGCGGGAGGCCGGGGAGGTCCTGGACGGAGGGTAGCGGGGAGTGATGAAGCAGCTTGGGGAGCCCTGCTTAGAGCTGGTAGGGCCAACAGAAGCGGGAGGAGGGAGCAGGGGGAGCCTCAACTCTGAATTCGCGGATACCAGAATGAATTCATTAACCTGCTTTGAATGTTTCCCTTTGCTTTCATCATTTCTCCCTAAAGCCAGAAGAAATCCCCACCTTCTGAGATGTTCTTCAATTACACACACACACACACACACACACACACCCGCACAGGACACCTCCGGGTCCTTTTCTTCCAAAGACCTGCAAAGAGGTTTCCGTGACCTTTTGTGCAGATATCACACACACACACACACACACACACACACACACACACACCACACACCACACACACACACACCCCTTACGCGCCCACTCTGTGGTTAGGACCGACAAGCTTATGCATTCAAGTTAACTTAAAATTTCTCCTCCCCAGAAATGTTTTCCCCAGTGAAGTTCCCACTTTGTTCTCAGCATTTAATCACTCCTCCATTTGGCTTCATGTCCCAACCAGCATCTGCAAAACACACCCTTAAGTATATGTTGCTCTAATCTCGGGTTCTGCTTTGGGCTTGGAAAAGCTGGAGACACATCAGTAGCTAAAGGGCAGAGGGTGTTCTATGTCTTACTGCTCAATAGCAAACTCTGTGAACTGAACCCTGAAGACTTATTTTGGTGACTCAAATCTCTGCGGATGAATGAAGACCACGTATTATGAACTCCAAAGAAGTTGTACTTAAAGCGTCATCAGGCTGATGAGGGTGTTTCCTAATGAGGAGCTGCATTCCTCTTCCCTTGTAAGTTTCTCTGTTACATTTTAGTCCTTAAGAAAATATTATTTATGCTTCCGTAAGGCACCGTGCCCAACAGTTTACCAAATATATACAAAGCTGTAATCTTGCTTCTTATGAAACACATTTTAAGGTGATTCCCTCACTCTGAGTTACCACCAGAACATAATCCCAGGTAACTCTTTTTTAAGAGATGGAGCTGAATTATTTTTGTTTTTCCCCTTGAACTTTTTTACTTTTAAAATTTTCAATCACACAGAAAAGTTAGTGCCGTTTGGTAATAACCAAAATGCGGTCAGAGATTGCATTTGTTTGTTATTTCTATCTAGTGCATTTTATTCTAGTGTATTCTATTGATTCCTGACCACAGCAGATCATTAAAAGAACTCAATACCTTCTATAAATTCAGCATCAATGACAATATCCGTGGAACAGAAGGCAGTTGTATCCCTGCTCACTCAAGTTTCTCCCCAGACTTAGTCCTACCCTTAGTCAAAGAACATTTCTTTGTTTCTTATCCCCAAAAGGCCATGTTTCAGGGATAAATGAGTGTTTTTACATATGTACACCGATTGGAGAAGCACATAAGTTATTTTACTAAATTTTAGAATAAGAATTCAGCAAGGTACGCACCATTATGAATGAGCTCAGATTTTCATGTCATTCTAGGAAGGTTTTAATGTGAACCAAACTTTTAAGGCATGTAGAAGTCATGCCTGTTTTCAATAACCTACTTATTTATGGGTCAGTCTTTCAGCCTGAAAAGAGTTGAAAATCTCTTTGCAAGGGGGATCTACTGTCTCAGCATATTGACAGATGCTTCTCTCAAGCAACCAATGAAAGGCTTGGGACAATATGGCCAATAGAAAATGTTTTGCTCAGTATGGGGTGGGACGTAGTCTCCGCATCCAATGGGAATGTTTGAAATAGATTCATTTCATTTTTGCTTCCGTCAAGCAAATATTTGTTTGGTCGAAAATGGTTAGAACAAATGTAGTGTCAGAACTTTCCTACCATTAAATCATCTAGATGTTTGCTGAATCATAGAACGAGATTTGGAAGAAGTCAGCTCAAGATACTTCCTGGTTCAATTTTCCACCTCTGAATAGGATTCCAATTTATATGACCATTCAAGAATACTAAATACAAGAGACTCCCAACTCTAGGAAACAAACTGAGGGTTGCTGGAGGGGAGGTGGGGAGGAGTTGTTGGGTTATGGGCATTAAGGAGGGCACTTGATGTAATGGGCACCGGGTGCTGCTATATGCAAATGAGAAACCACTAAATTCTACCCCTGGAACTAATAAAACAATATATGTTAACTAAAATGAATTTAAATAAAGATTTTTTTTAAAGAAAAGATACTAAATACAAAAAAAAAGAATACTAAATAGATCTAGTGAAAGAGATTGCAAACTCTGTATTGATGGGCTTTTTCAAAATTTAAGATACTTAGCTTAGGCCAGAGTTTTTCTCACTTCTGGTCTAAATCTTTTCCTTCCTTAAATTATTCAATACTGGGATGCCTGGGTGGCTCAGCCGTTGATCGTCTGCCTTTGGCTCAGGGTGTGATCCTGGAGTCCCAGGATCAAGTCCCGCGTTGGGCTTCCTGTGTGGAGTCTGCTTCTCCCTCTATGTCTCTGCCTCCCTCTCTCTGTGTCTCTTGTGAATAAATAAATAAAATTTTTAAAAAATTATTCAATACTTATATGAAGATGAAGAACAGCAATACCTTTACCTATTAGAGATTAAATTGTCCAACACCTTCTTCTTCATGTCAGGTAACTTTTTATACCCCTTTACCAATATACACACGAATTTGGCCAACTCATACTTTTCTTAAAAGCATCTCTTTTTTAATTTTAAAGATTTTATTTTTAAGTAATCTGTACACCCAACGTGGAGCTCAAACTCACAACCCCAAGATCAAGAGTCACATGCTCTACCAGCCAGCCAGGTGCCCTCACTTCAAAGCACCTTTTTTTACTACAAATTTCCAAAAGATAAGGTCAAAATCTCTCCAAACCTTACTGATCTTCTCCATCTATAAAATAAAGATAAGCAAGAAGTACAAAATATTTGAACAACTTATGCATATTTTAGCCAGTCATCCTCCTGAGTAGAAAGTGCAACCAAGCAGGAGAATTGTGCCAAACTTTACTCAGTTTCTTCCATCTATAAAATGGGGTACTAAATATCTGGCTAGTTGTACCTCCAGAGTTGCTTGAGACAATTGATGTGAAAGTGCTTTGTAAACTGTGCAGGCATTTGCAGATTTAAGGGATCATTCTTATTACTTAAGCCATCAGATTTTTCTTACTCTGCCAAGCACATAGCAAGCACGTTTTAAGAATACGTCACTTATTTCTCATAGCAATCGTAGCAGATGGGCACACTTATCATCATGATTTCATTTAAAACAATGCCTGACATAATCTAGGCACCTAAATATTTGTTAAGGGGGAAATTGGAGCTTGGAAAGGCCAATGGTTTGTCTAAGTAAACATGGCTAGTTTACTAAAGTAGAATGAAAGTAGAAATCAAACCAGGAGGGGCACCTGGGTGGCTTAGTTGGTTAAGGGACTGCCTTCAGCTCAGGTCATGATTTTAGGGTCCTGGAATTGAGCCCAATGTCAAGCTCCCTGCTCAGTGGGGAGTCTGCTTGCTTCTCCTTCTCCCTTTCCCTCTGCTCATGCTCTCTCACCCTCTCTCACTTGCTCAGTCTCTCTCTTTTTCAAATAAATAAATAAAATCCTAAAAAAAAGAGAGAAAGAAAGAAAAAAAGAAAGAAAGAAAGAAAGAAAGAAAGAAAGAAAGAAAGAAAGAAAGAAAAAAGAAATCACACCAGGCCCTCACTCATCTCTAGATCAAATTACCATTTCTTACCCAGAGCAAATTACATAAAATTATCTTGATCTCTGGAGTAGTCAGTTTCACTGGAAATTGCAGCCTAAACCATCTGTATCCTCTTCCCATTGCATTGGCATCTCCCCACCTTCTGAAATTCCTTATATTCTTCCCCTCTGTCAAAGTGAATATTAATCTTAGACCATCAGGCATCATCAAACAAATAAAAGAAGTACTGGGGAAGAGGTGAGCAGGAAAGGCAGTGGGAAAGCCTTTATAATTGTTTCTAAAGTCACACCAAACCAAATGTGGAGTCATCTTACAGTAGTCAGATAAGCAGTCTTGTTGGAATTACTTTGACTTTTCCAGGTCTTACTCACTTCTGCACAACCACATTATGTTGCTAGGTCTGCTCTACTCTTTCAGTGGTCAATTAATAATGCTGATTATAGAAAGAGGACCTCCGTCCAGTTTATGTAATACTTCTATATTTAGAGTCTGATATTGCATTTTTAAAATAGTCATATAATGTTACTGATACATATTGAAATATAGATCTATTCTGACCTGCAAAATAATTACTGATATGAACCATTCTTTTCATCAGGAATCAAAGTTAAGCTGACAACTGTAATTTCTAGGAGTATTATTGTATCTTTTATGGAAGATAATGCTTTTTCATTTCTTTACAAATATGGGGCATTATTTTTTCAAGAAGAGTCTCCAAAGAGCCATATCCTTGGATTCCAAAAGTTGTGACCATAACCTTCAGTTAGAAAGAATCCAACATTTTTAGAAAGCCATCATCAATTATTACCCCATCATTCATTGCACTGTACTAAAACCTTGGCTCATCAGAACTCACCGAATTAAATCTGCCCTCAGCAACATCTTGGAAGGGTCGAATCCTGTATTTGCTAGGATATAAACAAGGTCACTGCAAGTCTAAATGGCCACTGCTATCCTATATGATAATATAAACAAAGTTCCTGCCAGTCTATATGGCAACTAGAGAATGGCACTCCCTCCAGTGGAAAAAGCACCATGGCACGGCTTGATTTGTAGACACTGCCTTTGTTCAAACCAGAAGATACCCCCTGGGGCTGGAGGGTAGGGTGAAGGAGGACATACTGATACGAGAAAACATAGCAGTGTGTCCAAAACTGGGCTTGGCCTTTAGTCCCTGTTCATTCCTTCAGCTTGAT